AAAACGGCAGGGGACAATCACTGTATCAGCCCGGACAATCACTGTGTCACAGGGGTCAATCACTGTGACAATCGTGCCCTGAATTCATGGACTGTTTAAACCAAGAAGAATTTCGAATTTCACACAACGGACTCCGCCTAGTCCTAGCCTGAACCTTTACCTAGCCATTGCACTTCACGAATTTTAAAAATCTTGCCTACGAGCTAGGTGCGTTACCATACCACACACTGATTTCCTATACCCTCACGCGTGCACAAACAAGAAAAGGTGACCTTACATCAAATTAAGTATCCAAGGTATTATCTTCGCGTGCACAAACAAGAAAAGGTGACCTTACATCAAATTAAACATGAATTAAATATCCAAATACGTGTTAAAAGCATTAACGCGAATACAGTGAACACAAAATTGAAGCAAAGCTATCAACGCCAACTTACATTTATAAGTTTAGGCTGCACTCTTCGAGTCCCGGCACTACAGCCACACGCACAGAAGTCATTTGGGCGGCGGAGAGGAGCAAGACTTCGCCGAGGTCGGGGTGGGCGGCCGTAAACGCGGCCCACTGCTCCGTGTCGGCCAGGCTCTTCACGTTGTCCATCACGATGGTCGTGAGCCGCTGGCGCAGCTCGCTGCTGATGATCTTGCACCCGTCAATGGCGCCGTGCAGCAACTGCAAGGCACGGGGGGCGTCGCAGAACCACAGCTCCACGAGACATTCGGCGCGCAGCTCCGGCACCATATACTTGTCGGCAAGCTGCAGCAGCTCCAGATGGCTGTCGCCCCAGTTCTCGATTCGGTCCGTGTAGAGAAACTCTATAAACTTCTCCACCGCCACTCTCGAAAAGTCCACCAGCTTGACGCGACCCTCGCGGGCCTCCTTGAAGTCGCCCATCAGCATCTTCTCCAGCACCGGGCTTCGGACGGCCAGCACAGTGCGGTGCGCGGGCAGGCGCACGCCGTCCACCACCAGCTTCACGTCGCAGAGCTTGCCCTGCAGACGGGCCTGGTTTAGACTGAGGGCCACTCCATACGAAGGGTGCGATCCACAGTCGAACACCGTGAACAGTATGGTCACACTGTCGCATTTGTTGGAGAGACGGAGCACCCCGAGAAAATGAGCGTCACTGTACGCAACACCAGGCTTGAGGTGACTGTCCCTTACAGCCCCTGAAAGTACGCCAACCTCGGACATCTTAGTGCGGATCATGACGGGAACTGTGGTCTTGCATGAACTCAATGATAGACTCCAAGTGTTACAATCAACGGAGCAGGTCGCATTAAAGGAGACGCGGCTATCCTCTGTCTTGAGCAGACCAAGAGGGAATTGCTGCGCGGGCCGGTTGTACCTGGCCGTGAAGGAGGCGGACGCAGCCGCACGGACCACATGCTCTACGACGAGAAGCCGGCGCATGCCGGGGAGTTTGGGGTCATCCATTGCAGTGGTGCTGCGAGATGCCAGGTCACTGGAGTCCGTAGTGGGCGCTGCGATAAACACAAAACGCAAAGGTGTTAATATTGATATTATATTATAGCTGCCCCCTCGCGCGTGTCGGTCCGGACGATTTTCTTGCCCGCTTGCGTCCACCCGCCGCTCCTCCTCTCTCCCGCCCCCACCACCGCTCTCTGTATCCGCTTTTGTTCTTCATAGTTCCGGGCAGCGGCGCTCCATTAAAATACCCTATTAGCCCACAGGGCTAGAAAGAGACAGTCCCCTCGGCTAGACCTCAAAGCTCCCCCCCCCCCCCCC